TGATTCTCTCTCGGTATCTGTTCATTGCCTGTAGATTTTCATCTAGAGGGGGGGTCTCCCATGAAGTTCCCCTCATCCACTTTGGCATGTCAACTGGTTTTGTTATTATGTGGGTCTTGTTAGACTGCCGTTCTGTAGAGATTTTGTGGGTGCAGCTTCCCCATCATGTCTAGAGCGCATTATCTAGCAACAGACATCTTGTTCCTCTAGCTCTTAAACTCTTTCTGTCCCCTCTTCTGCAGTGTTGTTCCCTGAGCCTTAAATGTAGAGGTTGCATTGTAGATATATCAAATAGGGCTGGGAACCTCATCATCACTTATTCACTGTATTTCAATCAGTTGTGGAACTTTGTAATAGTTTCCATCTGTTGCAAAAAGATGCTTCTTTGAAGAATGGTGACAGCTATACTTTTCAGAACGGTCCAGATTGCCTGACACCAGTATTGTAAAGAGATATCCACACTCCCGTGTTCATTTCAGCATTAGCTCCCTTAGCCTAAACCTGAAACAACACAAATATCCACCAATGGATGAATGGTTCAAAAATATGATAAAAAGTGGGCATAATGGTGCACACCTGTAACTTCAGCACTCAGGAGGCTAAGGCAGAGAGATTTTATGTTCAGTGACAACTGGTCTACATGGTGAGCTCAAGGTCAGTCTGGGATACATACTGAGACTCTGTATAATGAACAATTATTGAGCCTTAGGAAATAATGAAGTTCTTCTCTTTATGACGTTCTTCTCTTTATGATGATATGGATGAACCTGGAGGACATCAGGCTAAGTGAAATAAGTCAGACACAAGTACACAAATACTGCTTGATTCCACTAGTAAGGAAGTATCTAAAATAGCCACTCACTGAAACAGTGAGAATAGTTTCCAAAGGCTGAGAAGAGGGCGAGATGGAGCATTAGTGTTCAATGGGCATAAAGATTTCAAAATTATTTTTAATTTTTTTATGTAAATATGTTTGTGCTTGTGTGTTTGTGTGCACATGTGCATGCAGGAGCCTACGGAGGCCAGAAGAGGGTATCAGATTCACTGGAACTGGAGTTTCAAACAATTATGAGCCACCATGTGGGTGGGAACTAAACCCAGGTCCTCTGTAAGAACACAAGCACTCTTGACTGCTGAGCCATCTGTCCAGTCCCAGGTATAAAGTTTTAATTATGCAGAATAATCAACAACATAACACTACTATATTGTGTACTTAAAATTTTTTAAGAGTTAAATCTCGTTAAAAACTCAAACAACAGGGACTGGAGAGATGGTTCAGTGGTTAAGAACATTGACTGTTCTTGCAGAAGACCCAGACTTGAATCCCAGCACCCACATGGCAGCTGACAACTGTCTGTAACTCCAGTTCCAGGGGATCTGACAGCCTCTTTTGACCTCTGCAGGCATTGCACGACATGGGTGCACTTACTACCTACATGCAGGCAATACATGCACACACACACACACACACACACACACACACACACACACACACAAAGAAAACCTCAAACAACAGCAAAATACACAAAACCCCACAAAAAGGCACAAGGAAACTTTCAGAGGCAATGTGTGAGCATCACCTCTTCTGTGCTGATAGCTTCACAGCCGTTCATCGAGTGCTGGCAAGAATGTGGAGAAGCTAGGTCAGCCACATTGCTAGCAGGGATATGGGATGATACATCTATTTTGAAAAACATGTTGGCAGACTCTTAAAATGAAGCATGCAACTACCATATAATCTAGAAACCACATGTCTGGGCATTCATATTAAAACTTAGGTTCACGCCGGGCGTGGTGGTGCACGCCTTTGGTCCCAGCACTCTGGAGGCAAAGGCAGGTCGATCTCTGTGAGGTCGAGGTCAGCCTGGTCTCCATAGTGAGTTCCAGGCCAGGGGGAGCTACAGTGAGACTCTGTCTCAAAAAAATCAAAATTTAAAAAAAAAATTTTTTAATTAGGTTCACATACAAACCCATATGTGAAAGTTTATAGTAACTTTATTTGTAGTAGCCTCAAACTGGAAACAACACCAACAACACGTCCTCCAATAAGCAAATGGCCAAACAAACTGTGGCTCATCCACACAGTGCAATACTATTTAGTAACAGAAACAAAGAAAACACCAATACATGTAACAACATGGGTGAATCTCCAGAAAATCATGCTGAGTGCTTACGTACATAGAGTATAATTTCATTTATAAAACATTCTTGACATTACAAATTTCTGGAAGTGGAAACCAACACAGTAAGTGGTTTCTAGAAGTAAGGAAAAGAAGAAGTGCAGAAGAGAAGTAAGTGTGGCTACAAAGGAGCATATGAGGGACTCCTGTGGCATAGACGTGTTTGTGTCTTTGCAGTGTCAGCAACGCTATTCATACTGCAGTACCAAACTACAACTTTCAGGACGTCACCAGTGGGGGAAAGTGGGTAAAGGATACTTGGGATTTGTTTATAATTGTTATTTTTTTGAGATAAAGTCTCATGTAGCTGGTCTCAAACTCAATATGTAGCAGAGGATGACTTGAACCCTTGATTCTCCTGCCTCTCTTCTCCCAGTGCTGGGATTATAGGCATGCACTGCCATACTGGGTTTAGGCTATGCTGGGGCTGGAACCCAGGATTTCATGCACACTAGGCAAGCACTCTGCAACTGAGCCAATTTTTTTTTGTTTGTTTGTTTGTTTGTTTGAGATAGGGTCTCCTTATAGTCCAGCTGATCTGGAACTCTCTACCTAAACCATGTTGTTTTGGGTTTTTTGGTTTTTTTTGTTTTTTTTTTTTGGTCTTTTTGAGACAGGGTCTCCCTGCCTCCCAAGTACAGGGACTAGGAATATGAGGTAAAGAGCACAAAAGACCAACCACATTGACAAAAATGCCTAGCATTCTGTTTTGTCAGGAATAGGAAGCAATGGGAACTACCAGAAATCTGATGAGAATTTACATTTTGTGAACACCTTGGAAAATAATTCTGTGTTCTCTAATAAAACTACATATAAGTATACTCTTGTAGTCCAGCAATTCCATCCTAAGCTATATGCCCTTAAAAAAAGTTTACACTTGGGTTCACAAAAATGTTATACACATAAAAATGTTATTTAGCAGTGTTTTTATATCCCCAAACTAGAAACAATCCAATGTACAACTAATTTCTAATATGTTTATATAAGGAGATTTTTAAAATATTTTATTTATTATTTTATGTATATCCATGTATTCCCTGCGTGTATGTACCTGCACCCATGTCATGCAGTGCCTGGGGAGGACAAAAGAGTGCCTGAGGAGACAGTTGTTATGTGCCATGTGGGTGACAGTTGTTAGCTGCCATGTGGGTGCTGGGATTCGAACCTGGGTCTTCTGTAAGAACAGCCAATATTCTTAACCACTGAGCCATCTCTCCAGCCCCTCCCCAACCCCATATAAGGGGATTTTAAGTAGCAATGAAAAATCCAACAAACAACCACATGTAAGAAAGTGATTCCTCTCACAAACAATAAAATAAAAGCACAGCCACAAAAATATGGATGCTACATTATCTTGTTTATAGAAAGTTCAAAAGCAAGCAAAAGTAAACAGCAGTGCTTAGGGTGCATTAAAAATAGACCAGCTCTAAACATACATGATGAAGCGATCACTGTAAAGTCAGGATGGTTGCTACTTCAGGAGAAGGGACTTGGGGAAGGGAGTAGGTGTTGGAGAGGTTTGGTTTGCTGGCAAGCACTAGGATGGTAATTACACAGATGTTTGGCTTATAATGACTCACTAAGCTATGCACATACACTGTCTTGCTTTGCTCTGCAATAGTTTGTAATGAAATTGCAAGTCCCTCATATTTTGTTGCTTTTGCCTTTGAAAAGACAAGAAAGGAAGGTAGGTGTGAGATCTGACCATACAGAGAAAGGTGGCACTTGGAATCTGAGTAGACAACCCAAGCCTGTGAAGAGAAAGTGAAAGAGAAGTGCTGAACCACAGCGGTCCTGCTGGAGTGTCTAAGGGTAGCTCGGCTGGGGACGGTAGCTTTTTTATTAAAACAATGTATTGAGAATAATGAAGGTCGACGGACACAGAAACTATATCCGTGCTCCTTGGCAAGTTGGACTGGACTAAGGGACCATTGTTTTACGTGCTTGGGATTTTTTGTTTTTCAAATCAGTCACCCTTGCCTTGAGTTCCCCTTTGTCCCTCCCCGCCCCCCCCCGTATGAAGAGGAAAACATATTTGATTGGGAAAGCTCTCTCCTTGAGCTTATCCTGGGTGACCCCCTTTCTCCCCACTCCGGTAAAAACAAGACTGGAACGCAGGTCGGGAGAAAGAAGTTCGGCTCTGAGATGCTTTGGGAGTGCTGGAAACGCTGTTTTCTTCTCTCTCCAGCTGTTCTCTGAGCAGACTTTCAAATTAACTAATATCAGAACTTGGTTGTTTGGGGTAGAGCACACATATAACTCCCTAAGAGAGCGACTACAGTTGAGAAATCCCGAACTCCACTAACGTTTTTCGACTCTTCTTTCCTGCCAGATGTCTCCATCACAAGGCTGAGTAAGTGCACACACTCTGTCTTCCACGAGGCTCGTGTACATCTCCACGGAGGGGACATCAGTGTCCTTGGACTCCAGGGCCGTGTGGGCTGGTGCTAGGAAAAAACGATGAGCCTTTGGGCTGGCTGTAGAGGAGATCTCTCTTCAGTGGACAGCGACACACTCTGACGCCTAAATTCTCAAGATTTTCCGTGCTGGACCGCTCTGTAGCTGGCAAAAGTCCCAGCTACCGAGGCATCCTCGGGCACAGGGACTAAAAGGTAGCGGAGCTGAGAGTTTTTTTTTTTTTGTTTTTTTTTTAAGATACCAGCTCATCCCTAAAGTGCAATCCGCCTTTCGAACTGGGGATTCTCCCAGGACTCCGGCCAGCACCAATCAGGTCGCTCGGTACCTGCCCCCATCGCGGCCACCTGGAGGAGCCTGGGGGCTCAAGGCTGCTCACCCGGCCATCACCAGGAGCGCCGGGGCGGGCAGAGCATCCTCACGTGGGCCGGTAGGGCTGCCTGCGCCCGGAAGAAGCGCGCTGAGTCGGGGAGCGAGCGCGGGAGCCGCGGTCGGAGCGCAGCAGCACCGCCACATAACTCGCTAAGCACAGGTCACCGAGAGAGGGGACCGACCCCGGCCGAGCGGCCCGCGGGACGCTGAGCTGGGCGCCTGGATGAGCCGGGCACGGGAGCGCTGTCCAGGGCGCCTGCACACCCCGGTAAGCGTGCGCCCTCCGCCGCCAGGTGCGTGTCTGCGGCGGTCGGCTCCCTCCGCAGCTGGGGGTGCCCTGGCCTCCAGTCTGCACTTGCCCCTGGCCTCCATTAGTCCCCACCATACGGCCCCATGCCGCTTCCCCCCGCCCTGGCCGGCTCTCACCCGGATGGGGCGACCATCTGATACCCTTGGCGACCACCCTGGACCCGCGGCCCACGGGGCAGACGAGAGACCCCGGGTGCTCCCCTGATTGCCCCGGCGTGAGTACCCCACCTGGGAATCTAGGGATGGGTGGGTGCAGCCCTGGCAGTCGGCCGCCGTCAGTCTGTGTGTTCAGGTTCCTGCATGCAACTCGAAGCCACCTTGTAACCTGGGCTGGCTTGCTAGTGATTTTCCTGAAGTTTTACGAAATAATGAGGGCCGAGGTGCTTTTGTGGCTTCGGGAGGAGGGGCACCCGTAGGCATGAGAGGACAGGTATCTTTGCCAGTTACTCCAGGAGCAGGGTAGCCTAAAGAACAGAGAAACCGGACTTGGCAGGCAGGACCGTTGCTGGCTTGTTCCTCCTCCTCTAGGGCGGCTTCCTACGCCCACAGGACACCCAGCGACACGGAGGGCCTGGCCCAAATAGACCAGGGGCTGAGCAGAAAGAGGCATCAGAATAAGGGCTGGATTCTGCTGCTTTGTTCAGGTCATCCTGAGTGTGCTGGGGGCAGCTCTCAGGAAGAGCCCTTGGAAGGTGGTTGGAATCTGCAACTCAGAAGACAGAGGAGAAGGACAAAGATGAGCTCTAAGCCCTGTCTGAGCCTCTCAGCACCTTTTGTTTGTTTGTTTGTTTGTTTGTTTGTTTGTTTGTTTTGGTCACTGGGACATTTATTTTCTCTGCGTGGAACTGTGCAGCCCTAGACTTCTGTGCTTCCTAACAAGTTTGATGTGGCAGGCAACCACCGGGAAGGCTGAGGCACATTCTCAGGACTTTTCCAGTCTGTGGGAACACTGACCCTGCTGGAGTCCAGGACCCCATTGTTGGCCTGGTTGGAGGACCTAATAGGAAGTGGGATTCTCTCTGGCAGGCTGAGGGGCAGTTTCTAGCTAGGCTGCCTTGTAACTGGCAGAGATTGATGTCTGTGTGGTGGGATCTCTGTGCCTCACCAGTGTCTGAGCCAATCCTAGAAGAGACAATGTGAGACACAAAAGGAGACAGTGCAAGGGACAATGGTGCTAGGCAGTGTGTTGGCTTTGCTTGAGATTCACCAGGATTTGCAGTCTTCTGAGGGGAAAGGCAGCCTCCTCTCCCTGCTAACGAAGTTCTTGAAAGCCACGGATATTTTGATCTTACCCCTAGATAGCAAGGTGAACCAGAGGGAAGAAAAAATAAAGGTACACTCTCATAACACAATTTCTCAAGATGTCTCTCCCCAGCTCCCATGCAGGAGAGGATCTAAGCCAACGTATGGAGACAAGGCTGACAACATCCAGAGAGAAATTAAGCACGGCTTTCTGATGGTTCCGCTGCGTATTAGGCAAATCAGCAGCAGCAGCTCTTTCCTTCCAGTTCCCACTCACTTTGGGAGCATGGTTATAATTCCCACAATCCTGGGGAATGTAAGGTGACACTGTCCTGCTTGGACTGCAGGACCTCTGAAGTCCTCTGAGGCATGAGAGCATCACTGGATGAATGGAAACCTAGCTGTGGGCACCTGCCAGAACTAGTGGTCTGTCTTTGCCACCTCTTCAGAAATAGGCATCCTGGAAAGGCAGGCAATATGGATTATGATGCTGATGAGAGGTCCCTCGTGTTTTGTCAGAGGATTCTGTGTTATCTCTAGCCTGCCCAGCTGTAATTGAAAATGAGTGCTGTCTTAGTCCCTCTGTGTGCAGACATTGTCTGGCCACAAGGGAACCTGGCCCAGGAACAGCTCACACTTCACCCAGAGGCCCAAAACTGATTTTAGTGAGCTGCCTCAGACTATGGAAGAGGTTAAGTGGCTCAGAGGGGAAGTTAGGAATGCTCCAGCTGGCCATTTAAGGAAAAAGCCATTTGGTCCTGGCTGAGCAGTGAGAGTGTCATTTGTGAAAAGTGCCCAGAGGTTGACTGTAACTTGGTGATTTTAAACATGAAGGAAAATTTCTACCATTTAAGTATGATTATTAAGTATCTTCCATGTGCAGACATACAGCTTTTCAAAAAATCAATATTACCCCTATTTTTAATGTGAAGAGACTGAATTTGGGGGAGGTAAAATAATTTTCTAAGATCATAAAGCCAATAAGTGGCAAAGTTGAGCCTAGAGCCCACATCTCTCTGATTCCAATCTCCCTGCCCCTGCTACAGGATCACCTTTTTCAGGTAAGAACTGACATGCATGTGACAGCCCAAAATCCAAAACCATCATCAATAAACACTGTTATTTCAGACAGATGTTTGTGACTCCATTAGACTTCAGGGAAAGTGCTGGTCTAGAAAAAATGTATGCTCTTCATTTGCTTTAATATGTAAAGTGCAAAGCATGGTAGCACATACACTTTCCTTCCGTTAGCAAACAGTGAGAAAATTGATAACTGCTGGCTGCTGGCGAGGTTCTGGGAAAGCAAGCACTCTCATAAATTGCTGGCAGGGAAGCAAAGTAGTACAGCTTCTTTAGAAGGAGAACATTTTGGAAATACCCATCCAAACTAGGAATCCCTGTGCCATCTGACACCTTGATTCCATTTTTAGGAATTTAACTTGGTGCTATGTTTGCATATGGTCACATAGACATAAGTACACTGTAGAAGTTTTTGAGCTATGAAAGTACAGCCTATCTGCTCATCAAATTAAATATTTCATGATACTTCCAGTCAAACACTGGCCTAATCATCCATAGGAAAAGGATTGGGAAGTTTACTGTATAACCAATTTGAAATGTTTTCCAAGGCACATGAAATGTTTTCCAATGTACAAGGCGGAGAAAACAAGATGGACAGAATGTTTATACTATGCTACTGTTCATGTTATAAAAGAGGAGGATAAAGATAGACACAAAGTCTAATAATATCCATTGCCCCCAGGAAGGGTGGGCCTGTAAATCCTTTTGTGTCTTTTGAATCTTGAATAATATGAAGTTTAAAAATTATCTTTCCATGGCCTGTGCCTGACATGTTCCCTCAAGTACTTCGCTGGATGAATGATCTGGGTGATACCTCCCACTCCCTTCATGGTGCTCAAGAGGATACTTTTGAGTTTAAAGACAAAGGACACAGGGTCCATAATATCTAGGCCATCCAGAACTCCTTTGAAATATGCAGGATTGTGCTTAGAAAGCTGAGGAGAATAGCTGTTTTTGGACAGCAAGCTCTCTGAGGTAGACCTGGCTTGCTCGCCTAGCCTTGAAAACAGGATAAATGAATAGAAACCACCTCTCCTTTTATTGTCTTACTGTTCCCTATGCAGGATAGGAAATTGGCTAGCAACTGAATAGCACTGGATAGGGGACCAAGAGCTTGCTGTGAAAATATCAGATCTGTAGGTCTATTTCTGGGCGTGTATTTGGACCACATAAAAGAGAGGAAAGGAGAAATGTTTGAAAGACCAGGTTTGAAAATTATTTGGGGGTTGGGCTGGAGATGTGATGTGGCTCAGTAATTAAGAGCACTTGCTGCTCTTACTGAGGACCCAGGTTTGATTCCCAGCACATATATCAGACAGCTCATAACTACCTATAATTCCAGCTCCAGGGGGGAATCTGAAGCTCTCTTCTGGCCTTCACAAGCACCTGCACATATGTGGCCTACACTCACACAGACACATACACATTAATAAAAAATTTTAAGGGGTCTGGAGAGATGGCTCAGTGGTTAAGAGCACTGACTGCTCTTGCAGAGGACCTGGGTTCGATTCCCAGCACCCACATGGTGGCTGACTCCAGTTCTGGGGGAATCTGACGCCTTCTTCTGACCTCTGTGGGCATTGCACAACACGGGTGCCCTTACACACATGCAGACAATACACTCATACACATAAAAATAATAAATAAAATATTTAAAATAAAATTTAAAAATTTAAATTTGTTTAAAGAAAATTATTTTAGGATTTAGGGTCATATTGCCCCAGAGTACTTGAGTAAGGAAATTTTCTCTGCACTAATTAGCATGTCCCAAGATGTCCCATTGATTACTTCTCATCAGGAAAGATGCCCAGATTAGTTCTCTGTCCCCAAGAATTCCTGTCTGCTAGTCACCTAGCCTGTAAGCAATGACTGTAGAAGGGGAAGGTGGTGGATGTCCTGTACCATCTTCCCCTTTTCACACAGAGCAGACTATTGATTAACAGAAGCGATAGAAGGAAGACTTGTCTTTTTTGCTTTCCTCCCCTTCATAGGCCTCCTGTTCCCTACATAGTAACCTGCAACCCAGGTTACACCAGCATCACCTGGGCACATACAGATCTGGTTGGATTATAACCAGATGTGGCTGGGAGTCACATACTTTGAGGGATGAGTTGGAATCTTTGCAGCATGCATAGGTCAGGGACCAAGCCATCAGTGTTAGATGGTGGTTAGATTTCCAAGAGACTAGGCTGTGATGTTCCCCAGGGAATAGGGATTGTCAGTGTTTTAGTTTGGATTCTAGTGATATGGAAGACTGTGACTATACCAAGGAACCAGGTCAGCAGGGGTGTTCCCTGGGCCTCATGTCTGGGCTAGGAGTTGCTCTGCTGTTTGGAAGAAACAGGCTGAAAGCCTTGCTTCCATTCAGTTCATTGGCCAGGGTTCACCTCTGACTCAATTCTACTTCAGAAAGAAACAGCTTGAATTTTTCCAAATAAATTCTGGAGCATACAAGTCTTTTGATGTACTGCTGTTGCTCACAGGGGTGGGAGCAAGAAACTGGACTGGGCTCTCAGCCAAGGTGGCCAGAACCCAGCCAGCACGGGGAAAGCCAAAAAGCCCCGCTAATTGAAAAGAAAAATAAAGGAAAAGACTTACGTAGCATACTGGCCATGGATGGTCAGAAAACACATATTGTTCAAGGAACTGGGAAATCAGAGAG